GTCACCATACAAAAGAAACTATAACCAATTAATTATTTCGGATGTATGGTAGCAAACCATATCCAATAATTCTAGTTAAGACTTACTACGTATAATTCCTTTAATTTGATGCAACGATCCGACAACATTTCCAGCTCATCAAGCATGAATAACACCATGAAAGTCCCTCAATCAGTAAGTGTTACTCAAATACAATACGAATGCGACATATTGTTTAACCTTCTTCTAATGTCGTTCCGATCATCAGAGACATAGATGTTAAAGTTGAATTCGTCACTCAAATCACTTTAAAGCACTTTCCCAAATAATGGTACTTGGGCAAATTGAACGCGTGTTCGCTTATTCTTAAAAGTACAAAAAACAAACTGTGTGGCATAAATCCGATTTGTTTCCTTTTTTTTATATAATGCCATGTCCCTTAAGGAAACAGGAGATCATGTCTTCCCACAGCTTGCTTTAGTTACATCTCTTTCTTGTCCTTATATTGGGTTTATAGTTGAACCTATCCAAATATCCACCAACTGTTGTAGATCTTTATAGATTTGTAAGCAAATATCATACTTCTGATGCTATACAACTACTTAGTTTATGGAGCTGTATAATCTTCACGCTAGTTTCTGTTAACAAACTACACTTTTTGGGCCATCGAGCGATTTCAATACTAATAGAAAAGCATTATTTCAACCTTTGATCGACAAATAATTAGATTTAGAACGAAAGTCTTAAAATAACTAACGATACTGTTTATGACAAAATAATATTTAAAGAGAAATGTATTGCAACGTTTAAGTTTATTCGTGTCAGAACATGCCTCATTTAAAACTGGATAGAATATTCTTTCATTTTATGTTTTCATTTTATGGTAAGACAAGTTAAAAAACATAAAAAAATATTTAAAATTTTACTGTTATTTTTTTCCTCGGGTTTTGACTGTTACGTTGTAAAAAAAGTTTATTTAAAAATATTACAATAGTCAAAACATGAGATAAAAATAACAACACCAGCGACAAAACAACCTTGAAAATAGCTATAGAAGTGGCCGAAAGCGCTTGGGACAATAAAAAAAATATGGAACATTTTTGTACTCCCATTCTCCTAACAGAAAAAATGTAAGGATGCTTGAAAAACTTAATAAAAAATTAATCAAATCTTCTTTGTCGGCCGTATTTAATGAAATGCACACACACACACACATATGTATATATATATATATATATATTGACAATATTATATATATATATATATATATATATATATATATATATATATATAAATAAATTTCCAAGAGGATAGAATCCAGGTAGAGCTCAATGTCCAGGACAGATCAAGAATATAAAAGGCTCAAACACTAATATCCATAGTTATAATTTATTACATTGGAATCGTAATCACGATATTTTCCGATTTCTTTTTGAATTTGTAGGTCTGATGAATTGAATCGTGATTACGATTCCAATGTAATAAATTATAATCATGGCATATTAGTGTTTGAGCCTTTTATATATGTGTGTTTGTTTGTGTATAGTTATAGCTATATATAGTTATAGTTATGTAGTTATGTGTATCACCAGTCCCTGTAGACATTTGTTTTTCTTTTTACAATGATGTTCACCTTGTACAAGGCTCAAAAGCCACTCGAGGTAGAAGGTTACAGAGTAAGAAACACACCTTATATGGATATGTGGAGAATATTGACCCTAGACTTGAACCGGCCAAGATTGTAGGGATCGGAGAAGCATCCTCTCGGGAGTCGGTTCCACAAAGCAGAAGTTCGGGGGAAGAAGCTACTCGAAAACAGAATAAGAAAGAACAACATTGGAGAATAAGATTAAAATAATCAACACACTTGATTGTTTTTCAGGTGAGCAAGCATAGAATTGAACATTATAAGAGCGTTTGTGATCAGACATTAGGTTCCATCACTTGATTTATCTACAGACAATTATCTAGTAGATATAATCGTTGGTTAAGACTATGCAATTTTTCTCTGGGTTATGAAGTGATCTCCGCATACAATTGTTAATGGAGCGAACAGAAAAACAAAGAATTAACTAATATATCTTCTGTCTTTGATAGAAGGCTGAATTTTACAGAGCACTGTGAGTTCCTAGACTTTATGAATTTAAGCATTCTACTGGATTGGCGGCAAGGTCTCATACCGTTGAAATGGCTTGATGTAAACCTAAGTTCTCTGCTAACAGTTTCTTATCTCGCACTTCTCACATGTGGAACTCTATTCCGGCTTCTTGATTTCCAGTCAAATTTGATCTTCAAAACTTTAAATGCAGTGTCAATCGTTATCTTCTGTCTTCTTAATTCATGTATTTTTATGTTCTCTCTCCTTATTTTTCTAATATTCTCTCATACTCAGTGCCTTTTTGTGTTTTAGTGGCTTTATCACCTTACTTGGGGTGAAATGATTAAAAGGATAACTAGATATGGATACCAACTCTAAGAAACCAGTGTATTATAAACTTCATCTCAGACACTAGTTAATTATTTTAGAAATCTTTTCTGTTCCTTCTAAAGTCTTTTCATTCTCTTTTACTCCCAGTAGTCCCTTGCATCTTAGTGGTATTATCGCCTTGCTTGAGGTAAATTGATTAAAAAAATATTCAAGTCGAAATCATTTTGCGAAGTTGAATTTTACGACTGAATATTTTTCATGCCAATATCGACTATAAAACCAAAACAGACATAAAGTAAACAGTTGGGAAATGAGTTACTGTCCGAACAATGAGTGACACCTGCCGTAGAGCAATTATTGCTGTTCTTATTTTGAAAACTGTTCTATGTTGATTGATTGATTTATTTTTACTACTTATCAACCCTTTATGTGTTATTTAAAACCGAAACATATTTTTGTTTTTGAATTGCAAGATTTTTTTGTGAATATTGCATTAAAAATTTTTTGGAAATAACAATGAGTTTTCCAGATACAAGTCAAGTTATTTAATCCATATCTAGGGAGAGAAAGGGTGGCTTCTTAACTTTGCCAAGGGTATTTGCGAGTAAGTGAATGTAACGAACGGGACTGGCAAGTTGTTGTAAGTCAGATTTTTCTTCTCTGAATCTACCTTGACCGTCACCATATGTGAAAGCTTGTCTGAAAACTGGGACCAATTCTATTAGTCTTGGTCTCACAATTTAATGAAAATTAAATTAATCTAATCTGCCTGTACAGGGAAAGACTCCTTGTGCCAAACCTGACCTTGCTCAGCAAATGCCCTTTGAAAGAAAGATTGAATTTACTAAAGAAATATCCGTTGCTCGAAGTAGTGCCGTGATTCCATAAACCTATTCAAATTAATATGTTTATCTTTCTTGCGTGTATGACTTTGCTCCGGTCGGTGTGTTCTTTTTCAGATGTAATTTGTTTTAAGAATCTTTTAATTTGTCTTACTACTCTCTTACTATCTTTAATGTTCTTATATTTTAAAAATATTTTCCAAATTTCTATCACAATTTCATTATTCTAATTTATGTGTTGGCAGAAATTTGAATAAAAGTATGGATCATGGAGAACTTAATGGTTTGATGAGGTAATATTTGTGTTTCATGCCATGCATTTGGCGTTGGATCTTTTAAAAATGAGTATAAGTACATTCTTGGCATTTAAAAATGTATCCAAACCTGAATTTTCATACAATGCTCTGGTATTATAGATTTTTACCCAAATAATAATCTAATATGCACTTTTATAACATGCATCTTATAGGTTGAGTTTGAACACCGATACACTTATGGACTGTCGAAAGAGCGACCACTGACGTATACACTTATAGGCTGAGTCCGAATGCCGATTGCTGGCATATACTGTCCAAACACTGATTACTAGCATATAGACTTTTAGCTTGGGTTCGAACATCGATCATTGGCATATCCACTTATAGGCTGGGTTCGAACACGGATAATTGGTATATAGGTTGTCCGAATATCGATCACTGATATATACACTTATAGGCTCTACAACAACCTATTACTAGCATATACACTTACAAGCTGGGTTCAGACGCCGATCATTGGCAATACACGTATAGATTGTCCGAACACCGACCACTGTCATATACACTTATAGGCTGTACGAACAGCGATCACTGGCATATTTTTAGACTGGCTAATACTTTAAATTTCAGTGTTTTTTGGGGTTTTTTTTTTATTTAGGTGTGTACTACAATTTCTTTTTTATTGAGTTCCGTTTGTAAATGTATTGAAATGTTCCATAAAGCTAAAACTAACAAAAATGACAGCCCTCTCTCTCTCTCTCTCTCTATCTATCTATCTATCTATCTATTTATCTATCTATCTATCTATTTAACTCCCGCTTGACAATCTGATCATTTTGCTTGCTTTTTTTTTCTCTCGTCTTTTTCTCGAACATAAATCACTAAATGATATAACCTTGTCTAGTGACAGAGGTAAATATGCATTTCCTATCAGTACCAGATAATCGGTCTTTGGACCCAGGTAAAAACTCGATATTTTGAATGCACATTTATAATCAGCCAATTGTAGTATTTTTTACAGGGTTTTATTTTAACGAAATACAAGAAAGAAATATGAGAAAGAAAACGTAATAGAAGCTGCAAACTCTTATTTCAAAAGAAAATCACAATCAAAGTTTCCTATTTGGGAGCTTTTCAAGACACGATATTCCCCAAAACACACAGTATTGCAATACAGGCGAGACAATAGCTTAAAATGTTCTTGTTGTAGTTGTTTTAATTTTTTTCAGACCCAAATAGGATGAGCTAAGATTATCAATTAGAATTATCACGATCTAAATTTATTTACAACGTCAGCAAGTTTTCCATTTTACGATATTGCTGTTCTCTTTCAGCCAAACAGAAATAAAAGAAAGAGAAGAAATCAAAATATACAATAAATGTTAATGATGACTTTTCGAAATTTAGACAACGCCCAAGACTTTTATTATTTTACTTACAAACCTGTTTGACTTCTTTTTTAGATTCGAACCCTGAATTCTGATTTCCAGAATTATGGCTACAGTCACTGAGTGCATGCATGCGGTGAGGATAATTTCTTTCTTTATTTATTTTGAGGGATACAGAAAAAAGTTGATTTCCTGAAACATAAAGAAAATACCGAATAGAATGATTAAATTAAGGCCCAAATTATATTTTTTAATTCATGTAATTCCTTCTTTAATTTGCGAAAACATGTGTGCGGGGTGGAAAGAGAGGGAGGGAGAGAGAGAAAGAGTGAGGGGGCACAGAAAGTGTAATGGTTATCGGCACCAGAAGTGAATTTGGCGTGATGAGTTCAATTTCCACTTAATTTTGTTCCGTTTACTTCACGCTCATTTTATTTATTCTTTTATGTGTTGCGTCCCTTCAGGATGTAGGCGATCGTGGCCCTTCACATCTTCTTGTCCCTTGTAGCGCTTAATAACTTTTATCTTTTTGTTATTTCTCCCAAACCCTGTCCTGCCATCCATTTGCTCAAACTCATCAATTATGTTACGCGTTGCTTTCCCTTGACCAATTTTTCGTCCACCCGTTCTGTGTGTATCAGATTTTCCAAGCCCTCCTTCCTCATTACGAACCCCAGTAATTTCAACTGCTTCTTCCTGATGTTAAGTATAATTTTGCTTTTTGTTTCCATTTTATCCAAAACCTCGTTTTTGTTTACATGTTCGGTCCATCGAATCTTCGGCGTCTTTCTGTGATCCCACATTTCTGTTGTTTAAAATCTCTTCTTCTGTTGAATAAGGACTGGATGCATCATTCTACAGCTAATAGTTAAGTAGAATGTCAAACGAAACGGGGCACTCTTGCTTTGAGATGACAACAAATATAAGAGAATGAAAACAAGCCTGAAGAAGGACGGGTTCTATCATGTTACTTTGGCCAAGACACGCTACTGCTATGGCTGTTGAACATATGATGCCCTTACGGAACTCATGTGATGTAACGCGTGTGTGTCTGTGTTAGAGAGAGATAGAATAGTTTCGAAAGTAATACTTCTCTTTTATGTAAGCCTAAAACATCAAAGGCGGATTTGGGTGTTATAGCAGTAGAGGTTGAACCTTCCCGCCCACAACCCATTTTTTTTCTATTTGCCTCGTTACAGATAGTAGCAAAACAGCATTTACGAATGCTAATAACAGGCGGTGGTGAATGAATGTCAGCAAAGATGATAGCAATGTGTGAAAAAGTGGGTCGCCCAATTTAATTAAGATTACCTTTATATATATATATATATATATATATATATATATATATATATATATATATATATATATTATATATATTTGTGTGTGTGCACGCGTGTGTGTGCGTCCGTGTGTGTTGTGTGTGTATGATCAGTAAAATCTTGCGCATAAATGATAACATACAAAGTATAAAAACGAGTTTCACTGATTTTATAATCCGACATTCGGAGCAGCTTTGAATGTGATTCGCACTCGGCATTCCACAGAATTTTACATGTCATGCGAGTTTTTAGGCAAAGTTATTTCTTTATTTACACTATTGTTCGATCTTTTGTCCTCATCTTTGTTGTCATATTCACGACATTTCAAGTGAGGTAGATTGTTCTAGTTCAACGTACCATGCCCCTTCCAGATATCTCAGTATCAGTTATTTCCCTTCATTAACTCAACACTCCAGCTTTTTGTCCACCTCTGCTGTAGATAGGTATTGAACCCACAACTATTTGGGTCAAGTCACTGGATTACTTCAACGAAAGCTTTTATCCACTGGGTTACGTGTTCTTGGGGATTACTTGAAGAAGACCGGAGCGTACAACGGCTGAAAGGTCATGAATATGACAACAAAGATGAGGACAACAGTACAAACAATGTAAATAGTGAAAATAGTTACAATAGTTCATTTCAAACATAGACAGAATTTATTTAATGGCCGGAAAACTGATCGGCTGAAAATATTTTTACAAACAAACAAGATAAAGATCCTTGTATTTACAAAAAGGTGCTGAAAATGTTAAGCTGATTTATACTTTTGGACATTTGATTATTTGGGGAGAATGAAATCCTTTTATCATCAAAAAAAAGCTAACAGAAAATCTAATATTAGAAATACCTTTGTTCTTTAACAACACGCATTTTATACACGTGTCTTTTTCTACGGAAAGAAGTTAACTTTGTCTCTTGCCTTTCAAAAAGTTGTCATTTGTACATTCGACCTTGTTATGTCAGTGGCCTTCTTGAACATTGTCTTTCATTCTAGCGAATAAAATCAGGATTGATGCGACGACAGTTTACAGTTTGTCAAAAGTTCACCGACGACTTCTCCCAAACCGGAGGAACTTGTCTTAATTTGAAATTGTGATTAATTTTACTTCATGTTTTAGTGTCTGCATTGACAAGCTGACCGCTTCCTGCCCATTTGGAAGATAACTTAATGAGAAAATGGAGGAAGATTAAAACAATTTCGTAAATGCCAACAGATAAGAATAAAAATGTTTAAAAATGTTTATTACATTCAAATTGCAACTAGAAGAATTCCGTTTAAGTAATTTAGTTTACCTTTTTTGCAGCTGATTTTGAAATTTTGTTTACTGATGAAAGAAAAAGAATTTTAACGACAAAAATATACATTTTTTCCACTACGGTGATTCTGCCGAATACGCTATGCTTTAAGCGAGTAAGTTAAACTCATGCTTTGTAAATTATATTGTCATACGAATTTTATTATCTATGAGATGAAGTTTTCTTATTCTTGCAGGATCTATTTAGATGATCATCCTCATCTTTATTTTAGTTCATATACTTAAGCCTGCACGCTCTCCGGACTTCTTGCTGCTTTTGGTAATGTTCATTTATTTTAATCGGGTTTGTAGTGGAACATAACGGGTAACATAACGGATATCGATGCTGAAATTGGAATCGACAAAACGAGTTCAAGACTGTTGTGTTTGCTTTCGCATTAATTCCCTTGGCAAAGACATGAATCCGTTTCCTCTCTCCCCACCAGTTATAGACTAAATAGTAGGGTAGACTGGATTCTCTAGCTTTGGGCGGCAACTAGTCGAAAAGAAGGACAATTCTGAAGCCCAAACTGTGGAGAAGGCAACGAGGAACAATTTCACTATATTTTCCAAGATTGTATGGCAATGCACAGATAATAAAGAAAAGGAGTCTGTGAAAAATTATGATTTCCTACGTTCTAATAGGACATAACATTTAAAAGAAATTATGGTTGGGATTGAACACTTGATAAAAATAGTGAGATGGTACTTTACTGCAATTGATACAATTAAACTGTTATAAGCAGCTACTTTCTCTGTGTAATGAACGTAAATATATTCATTAGTAAATCCTAATTTGAGTTTCGTCCCTCTAACAAAACATTTATTATTAAAAGACAAGTTAAATTGGCAATTTTCTTTGATATTGATTATATCAACTTTCAATCATTTCAACAAATTTTGGCGCTGTAAGTCTTCCTACACGATAATTTACAAATTCATTTAATTTCTCTCATTTAAATTCCGCTTTGAACAGCTTTCACTCGTTATTGAACAAGTTCCAATTTACAGAATCCATACGAGGGGTATTTCAAAAATTTGTGGAAAAAGCATGTTATAACAAAACTAAACAATAATTTAATATTTTTATTTGTAGTAAAATAAACTTGGACATAATTATATAAAGCGGAAGTATTTTGAATTAATTGTTTGAACCGGAAATAGTTTGAATTAATAGTTCGAACCGGAAGTATTTTCAATTAACAGTTTAGACCAGTTTAAAAACAATTTTCTTTAGAGCAGGATGAATCTTGTCAAAATTGGAAGCAAAAACTAACATCAACTTTATGGTAAAAGTTGCTTAGAAGACTGAAAACATTATTGGTGCTTTGAGAAAAGATTTTGGAGATAATCCCCCCAAAAAAAAGCAATTAATTAACGGATAACTGGTTTCAAAGAAGGACGAGACGGAGTTGAAAATGACGAAAGGATAACAAGTCCACTAACATCAGTTTGTGAGAAAAATCGATGCTATTCAAGATGATTAACAGTATAAAAAATCGGCAACTTTCTAAATATTTTAGTTGGTTCAATCCACACAATTTTATCAAAAGAATTAAAGTTGAGCAAACATTCTGCTCATTGAATACCAAAACTGTTGCGCACGAACCAGCAGCAGACAATCTTTGAATTGAAATTTTGAATAAAAGGAATTAAAATCCTGAAACCCTTTTTTTAAGATAATACTCAGTCAAAGCTAAGGATGGAATGTTCCATTCAAAGCAAAAGCAAACAGGTCGGGAGTGAAGTTAGGGTGACAGTTTTCTGGGACGCTGAGAGCATTTTGCTAGTAGACGTTTTTAAAGGAAAAATGCAGTAATATCTGGTTGTTACGAAAATTAACACCGAAGAAATTTTCACCAGAAATTACTTCTCTATCACAACAATAATTCTAACCATTTCTCTCCTTAAACAAGAACATTGTAAGGATTTCGATGGAATATCCGGTCCTGATTTAGCACTTTCTGACTTTTTCTTATTTACTAACCCTTTAAAAATTGAAATTGAGATCATTAGTTACGTAAAAAGTTGCTTTGACATAGTTGAATTCTTTGAAACTTCAGCGCATAAATCTTACTTATTATAAAACGCAAATTGTGTGTGTGTGTGGGGGGGTGTTCGTTTATATATTGGATCGGATTTCCTACATTTTTCAACCGATTTCAACAAAACTTCACAGGACTACGTAATATTACCTTGCGGTGGTTCTGACAGCGCCAAAAATTGGAAAAACACAATTGTTTTTGCAGGAAATCAATTTGATAACACGATAAAACACGATTCTGTCGCCAGAATGAAAGGGGGACAACTTATATCGAGTTATACTTATTATAAAACCCAGGTTGTTTGTGTGTGTGTGTGTGTGTGTTCGTTTATATATAGGATCGGATTTCCTACATTTTTCAACTGATTTCAAATAAAACTTCACTTTTTTTTTGGCAGGTAGTGTTTCTTATTGTCTTGCACACTTTTTTTTTCTTTATTTTTACACTCAGAATGCTTTAAAAATTCCATTTACAAGACAATTGTTTATAATAAAATTCTATTCAATCGATAGACTCATAACAATTGAAAACAATGTTTTTGTTTGAGTTTGGGTTTGACCAATTCGTAAAAAAAAAAAAACTAATTAAGACATGCGTGTCCGTCAACCTTAAACAATAATCTTTGTCAATTTTATTTTTCAGTCTTTATGATGGTCGATACTTGATCTATCTCTTACTGTTACATCCCCGGGCAACGCCGGGCTCTACTACTAGTGTCTGATATAATCGCCTTGATGTTGATGGTGTTTATGTGGAGAACTAAATCTTAAATATAAAAATGTTTCCTTTTACTTATATTTTTCTAGGAACTTTTTGAATTTCTCTCGTCATATAATTATTTGCAAATGATAATAATCACTAATTTTAATAATTATTATTGTCATCCAAATATTGTCAGTGGTACGCTACTATAGGTGACGTAAAGGAGTGCAAACAAGTCAAAGTGTCTTTCCTGTTAATTTCTCGTTTCTTTATTAAGTAAATCAAAAGAAACTAATCTGTAATTAACAGTTAATAGAACTGGGGTTATTGCCCTTAAAATAATGTTATTCTTTTTTATTATTAACCTGCACTTCTGTCTATATTTCTGAGATGAGGAATTGTAACTATTTACATTGTTCGGAATACTGGGAGACGTAGCTCAGTGGATGAATTGGTTGAAGTAATCCAAAAAGTGACTTTGACCCAAAGAGTTGTGAGTTCAATACTTGGCCACAGCAGAGGTGAACAAAAACTTAGAGAGTTGAGTTACTAAAATAAGTGAAACTGATATATCCGTAAAAGGCGTGGCACGTGGAATTAGAACAATTTACTCCAGTGGGCAAAATAAAGTGTTCGGTTTGAAATTCCAATTACTGATGAAAACCTGAGTGTACAATGGCCGAAACGTCGTGAATATAACAATAAAGACAACAGTTCGAATAATGTAAATCGTGCAAATAATTTACATTTAATTCATTAAAAATTATTCGGAAACCGCTTTATTCTGCAAATGGTAAATTGTGCTCTGATGTGCCGTTGATGTGAAAAAGGTTTTCGCAAGGATTTTCTTCGAGTAGTAATAAAATGTTTCTGGAAATGCAAATAATTTCTTTGGCATTTAGAACAGTAAAAAGAAACTAAAATGTAGAGATGCAAATTTGCAATTTGGCCGCGCAGTCTAAAATAAATCCTGACTACCATATTTGAAAAACAAATCTGTATTACAATTTTTCAGAACTTTGATTTGGAACCATTTAGCGCCACCAATTTCTATGAAACTGACCCAAAAACAACTTTAACGATGACACAATTGAATACCTTTAATGAACACAACCATCCTCTTCTCCAAAACAATACAACGAAGAACATATCCGATACTTTTGTCGAAAAATATAAATCTGGTAAGTAAAACTGATGCTTTTTGTGAATGCTCCTATTCTTTTTTTATCACTTCAGAACTTTGGAGATCATGGCTCTCCACAATTTCCTCTCCTTTGTAGCTCTTAATAAATTTGGTCTTCTTGTTATCTCTCCTAAATCTTGCTCCGTCATCCATCCCCTCAAGCTCGCCAGGTAAATCATGCGTTACTTTTCTCTGTCTCTCTTACCTTCAATCTGTTCTATGAGTATTAAATTTTCCAAACCATCTTTCCTCATTATATTCCTTAGAAATTTCAGCTGACTCTTCCTGACATTAAGTATAAGTGACCTTTTTGTTTCCATGGCTTATATTAATCAAAGTTCCTATTAGAGACAATAAAAGGACGATTCAGACACACTTTTCAATTGGAGGTCTTTCATATTCCATTGGAAAAATTTAATTTAACCTTTCATTATTTTGTTGTTGTTGACTCCATTTCTGAAATGGAATTTAGAGTATTGGGTTATTTGAATCTACAGATTAACAAATAATTCCAGAATTGTCCCCGGAGGCGAAACATTTGGTCAACAATACAAGGATAAACAGCAAAAAACAAAGGACCTGTGCAAGTTCGTCTATTTAGATTTTTTTTTTTTCGATAGGAATTCGATCCCCACTAGGTGTCTTACTTCTGTGGTGTAATGAGTTCAGTTTAATATCTACATAGGATGTCTGCTGTGGATAAACCCAATAGTATCAGATAATATTCACTCGCTCAGTGTGTTCGATTCTGTTTTTGTCTTGCATAAGAATATTCAGTGATAATGAATAGAGGAAATCTTTTCTCGTTGAGTTTGTAAAAGATTGATAATTTAGAAAAATGCTCTCCAACTCTCATATTAACCAAGATGCTGAAGTGGACTGTTCAGTCATGTAAAAGACTTGCATAGAAATAATTCTCTTTCGTATAGGCACGATATTTGAGAGTTATATGGACGAATTGATATTTGAGAGTTTTGTGAACGAATTGATCTTTGAGAGTTATATGAACTAATTGGTCTTTGAGAGTTATATAGACGAATTGATATTTGAGAGTTCTATAGACAAATTCTCGAAGATGAACCAGAAAGACACAGAAGGAAGTTCAAGATTTTATTTTAATTGTATATTTTTTAAAAGTCTCACGCTGTCTGTATTTACACTCAGATAAATTTCTGTTTCAGGAAAGGCGAATTTCTATGTAAAACATGAACTTCTTAAAATTCCCCATTTAGATAAAGATACAACACATTCTTCCTCTTCTACATATCCTTTCCAGTTAAAAAACATCTTACTGTATATTTCTGCTTTATTTTTCACTTTCCTTTTTATCCAAGAAGATTCTTTTTTCTGATTATTTTTAAGAACTTCGCTATCTTCAAAATCCTGTTAAAAAATGGGCAAATTTACGGCCGGAATATTGGACATCGTACGACGTGATTGACTGGTTGTATTATTTTGCCGATCTGAATGGTATCGATTGTAGTGTGTTCAGAGCGGAAGCTTTCCAAGACAAAAATGGTCAAGATTTGTGCCTTATGAACCAAGACCAATTCGAAGAGTTGGATCCAATTTACGGCAAACAAATCTATGACACTTTTCAACATATTCTTCATTCATGTAAGTTGTATTCTATTCATTGTGATTAATATTAAGGCTTCTAGCTACAACTGCCGCCATCACCTCACCCCACACTCATGAATAACAACTTTTATTGATAACATTAAAAATAGTGATAATAATTTTTAAAAAATGCCTCGCTTTTGAACTGAAAGAAAATTCTAATCACAACAGAAAATAGTAAATTGCGCCTTTCTCTGCTCTTCCATTTTCGGTAAGGATTTTTTGCGAGACGTTGACTAATTAGGATTTTTTTTTTAAATAGTTTGAAATTTACGTCCTGTTATCATCCGCGTGCATGAAAACTTAAGCTCCAAGTTAAGATGTTTGACTGTTTTTCCTATTCGTGCAACCATTGCACTCTCACAAGAATTTCAGATACGCTCAGAAATGATTACCATTTAATAGTCATTTAAATCAATGTGAGAACCATACTGTCCTTCTGCCTGGTTCAAAAATGGCAGATCTCCGCCTCTAATATTACCTCACTACCCTGCAGTTTTAAACTATATACTCTGTCCCTTATTAAATGCCATAAGAGTAGAAAAGAAGAAGAAAAAAAGAACGATGAAGTAAAGAAATGTTCCATTTCAACCACAAGTCAGTGAAAATTGGAGACGAATTCAGCACAGAACGGTACAAGCATACAAAAACACTACATGGCCGAACAATGTGTGGAAAATTGTATCCAGAATGTGATTATTAGACTATACATGTTATAAGACGCGTTTATTCTAGATGTACATCCATCTGTTCGATTCATGTTTAACTAATTACCAAAATAATATACACAGGTTATTCCGTTCAACCAATTTAGCATACTGAGGTTCGTTAGCATTTGATCATTGAAAACAAATTATATGATCAATAAACACGCGGCTCATATATCAGTTTTGTGTGCCATGACCGTCAAATGTTCCCTTGTTGGTCAACAGGAGCGACATAGTCGTTTTCCGACAAAAGAGTAAAATAATAAAAGTATTTTAAAGATTTAAAAAACTAAAGAAAAAAAAAGTCCGTATGAAACCACTTTTCAGTTAAATTGCTTTTTAAAAAATGATTTTCCCTCTAAAAAATATTTAAATACTGAATATCACTTTTAAAAATTTTCAAAGGCACAGAAAATATTTGAAAAAAAAACTAAATACGCAACAATCATTCAAAAACGTTTTGCATATAACCGTTTAAAAAGTAAAATTATTTTCTAATTTGCCCCGTAAAAAACTTAAAATCTCCCTAAAATCCTTTATATCTTGAAAAATAATATTAAAGATAACGATATTAATAAAAACAAGAAGAGAATTCGACAAAAAAAAAAATAAAATAAAATAAAATAAAATAAAAAGTCAGATCCAAAGTCAAAACCAAAAAACAACATATAGCAACGAGCAGCCTAATATCTACGGGAATTATGATAAAAAAAAGGTATGTCTGTCAATAAAAGACAACCCCTAACAGGAATTTTAAAAAAAAAATAAGTAGGTTGGGAAATCTGTCGAAGGATTTCCAAATAAAGCGATGGAAGATTGATAAAAGACACAAATAACAAGTCACACACCAGACTATGGGGTACATAGAAAACAGAAAGGAATATCAACCGCAAAAGAGAAAATAAACAAGAAAAAAAGATTAGCCAAAGAAGCTATATGAAAGAACTAGACAGAGTTTTGCACAATGTGCACACAAATGGACTTTCTAAAATAAGGGGGGAAATGTTTTACAAGGCATAAACAGAGAGGAAACAAAACGTAAAACTAGACGCGACAGAAACAAAACAAAACTCTGAAACAAAATATTAGGATAGCAAAAGAAATTTGTCAAAAAACCCGATTGGCTGACGGAAATTAAAACAAAAAACTTTCTCAGTAGCGAAGAGGAATACAACAGTGGAAACTCATCTAATCAAAGAAAGACCCCTGAAAATAGACAGTAGGAAAGCGTCAAGTCCAAATGGAATCTACATATATTGATACAATTCCACCACGCTACACGCTCGTCTGTATCAGAAAGTTTAAAACTGACTGAGAAAAAATCCAAGAATGGATGATCATGACAATCTTTATTCGAAAAGATGCTGAAATAAAAAAAGAACCCAGACGAGAAAAAACAGATCGATCAATATGGATAATCGTGAGAAAAGGCAAATTAAATGTATCACGGTATGAAAAGCAAAAGACTTCTACGAGAACAAAACGGATACAGAAGAGGTTTTGTGGGATACTAGTATGATTGGATAAATATTAGACAACATTATGTTGGAGGAATCAACACTTAGGAGAGTAAATATTTATGGGCTCCTGGAAAATTTATCCCGCAAACAATATTGGCGGACTCAATGTGAGTCCAGGTAAAAATGAGATACGCAAAGACCATATATCTAAAACAAACGACAATGCGTATATTAACACAAGTCATGTGACTAGTGGAAAAACTTGAAACTGGCTATAATAAGAATGTGCTTGTGTGTGTGTGTGTTTGCGTGTGTGTGTAACAAACGTGTGTGAGAGAGTACAAATAGTCAAGATAGAATACCATGAAAATGAATGTGTCCCAGGAGGGGACATTTTACCTACGTTCAACTACATCTAAAAGCTAGAGCTAAAAAATCTGTAAAAGAGGCTAGGGAGAGAAATGCATGCATTTTATAGACTTAAAGGGCACCCCCCGACTTGCGACGATTTTTTGCAAAATCAAGTGGGATAACCCACAGAGGAATCTAATGTACAAAGAACTGCTATACGTCAACCATATAAGGATATAAAATGAAGAGATAAATAGTAAATTTGAAATGGATTTCTAATGGATTCATATCTGGATTTTTGATCTTCTCAAGTTGCCCAAAATTAACGAAACAGTGATATGATTTATAATTAACTCTATAGAAAACTGAAAAGCAAATGTAATTGATGAAAGAGAATCTTTAGCAGAAGAATGTATCAAAGGTGAATTTTTTCAGGGAACATTTTTTTCTATTTCTAATTGTCAGTCTCACTACTGAATCTAGAAAAAACTGTAAAGAGACCAACACAGCATGAATTAACCTTCTAATGTACAGAGATGACTTCAAACAATATGTCTATATGCTAAGAACAAAAATATCATTGGAAACGCTGGCTAAAATAGTCAAGAAATACAGTGATGAGAACTGAATTTGTATTGCTCAGCTTTGTTCAGCAAAAGGGTATAGTAAGGGTATGTGCTAGTTTTCTATGTGGAAAGACTGTCTATTTTAATGGTTAAGCTCAACAAGTGCTCAATCTCCAACTACTGAGCTAGTGAGAAATTCGCAAATAATACAACTAGTAAGTAGATCTTATTTTTGTGTGAGTACTGCCGAAGCGATTACCTATATTAAATAGTTGGATTTATATGAATATACACTACTTATTACGAATATTCACTACTTATTACGAATATTCATAACTTATTTCGAAATTTAATACAAGTTTCTTTTTGTAGGGTCGCTAGATTTGTCCAAAAATCTGCGAATTGTACATTTGAAAGTTCAGCGCTATTACATTTTTATCGACTTCACATAAGTTCCCCAAGTTAACTCAGCTAACTTAAAAGGTAGTCCCCAAAAGCCTGAAATAATTAAAAATTTACTAACACTGAGCTTTCAAAAGTCCCCAACCCCCAATCTGTTAACCCTGTTCTGTTATTCTTTCTTCGTTTTCGAGTTTGTCATACAAACAAATGAGTTTTAATGTTCATTTTTCTCTATTTTAATTTAAGATATCATTGTTTTCATAGGAATATTTTGAATATTTTTTAATGTTTTCCAACCAGGTTCAGAGACGCGTTTACCATTGTTGAACACCCGAATTATCACTTCTCCAGAGAATTCTTATACGGATCTTCTAAATGCGAATAATTGTAAGTCGAAAACATTTTCTTATATTCATAGATACGCGTTTGTTTTACCCGTAGATTTATATTAATTTTTTTTTATCATTTCACCTCAATAAAACCATTAAAACGAAATGGGGTTACTGAGTGTGAGGAAATATGAAAAAAAAACATTAAGGAGAGAAAACAATAAAATAATAAGAATTAAGAAGACAAAAGATAACTTTGAAATTGCATTTAAATTTTTGAGGATTAAAGTTGATTGAAAGACATAGAGCTGGAAGGAAGTTTCACAAGTGAGAAGTGCGAGAGAAGAAACTGTTAGTATAGAACTTACAGTTACATATTTCCACTGTAAAATGATGATTCATTGCCGTCAATCTAGTACTGCTTCATCATGTAATAGTTTCACAATAACTACAGTGGCTAAAGTAGTGTTTATTTACAAGGCTTAGATTATTTTTTTAAACAAGGCTGCAAATAAGGGGTACCCAATGAAGATAGATCTGAATAATTAATAGAAATGTTCTGTGAAAATAGGTTGCTAACTATTATGCCACGATGAGGCCCGAACGGTGACTGAAAGAGTTAGTTTGATTGTTTTCACTGGTGTACGACCCAGATTAAATTGAAAGGAGGTTTTTCAAGGCCTCCTTCAGTTCACGCTTGGCGTGATGCAATTTCGTGTAATCGTATGTCATGTGACCAGATGTTATGTGACTGTATGTTATACTAAATGAAATGCTACTAAAAATTTCGGAGAATTTGAATAGCATGCAAGAACCGAATGTAATACAAACTTTTACTTCTACTTTGTGTGTGTGTGGCGAAGTGGAAAAGCTTTTTAATGACAACGCGTTTCGTCTCTGTGTGCTAGGTTGGCGTCTTCAGGTCAGACTAAAAGACAAATCTGTTTTGTTTTGTACTAAAGCAGCTAATGCCACTTTGCTAGGATGGCTTATTCCAGTCGCATTGAAGGACACGACCCTTTGTCATTAAAAAAAAGGTTTTTCACTTTCTCATTTCTCCACTTTTGTTCGAATTCTATTCTACTTCCCACTAATGCAAATTAATATATATATATATATATATATATATATATATATATATATATATATATATTAAAAAAATTTGATTTAAAAATTCACTGTTATATTTGAATTTCTATCAAATTCCGTTGGTATAACCATAACAATGAAATCTATTAATTGTATTATATTCTTTTTATTTTCATAATCATTTAGTAATTTTATATTTTTGCAAGGATATACAGGGTGCAATGTCTAAATTGTCGCCTAAATTAAGCAAAAATGAAAATGACACTGACATCTTAACATTATAACAGATATATTTACCAAAATTACACAAAAATATCTTGAAATAATAAAGAGTAAATTTGCTCAATAAAATCGCCATTTGCTTCAACCACGGCCTCCAGATGATTTCAGAATCTCCTGCAAACTCTTCTGGACGGTCTCCTTGTTTAAGTTGGTGAAAGCTGCCATAAACCTTCTCTTCAGATCATCTTTGGTGTTACGAGGAATATTTTTGGTCTTCCGCTCAACTGCACCCTACACATAATCAAAGGACTTGCAGTTTGGTTAGTTAGGTAGCCAGATGTAAGGGGTAATGTGACTGCAGAAATTGTCTGACAGACATAACTGGTTTCTCCTGCTTGTGTGGCATGGTGCAGAGTCCTGTTACCAGACACAGGGTCTTTCAGCAGCCACATTCTTGACCCCAGGGATGCATTACCTTCACAAATTACTTGATATAGGTCTCCGTGTTGAGTCTGAAGCCCTATGGGAAGGTGAATGAAGATATAACGACACCAACACTAGTGATTACAAGGTGTTTACCTTCGTAATTATCTTTAGATCCATGCAACTCTTTCCGAATCCTGTGCACTGTCCTCATGTCCTCATTGAAATGATTCATATATATATATATATATATATATATATATATATATATATATATATATATATATATATATATATTTCATATATCATTTAGTACGCCACAGAAAGTGAAAGTGAAAGTGAAAAGCAATATGGAGGATGGAGGAAATGACAAAAGATGAATGGGATTCTACTATTTTGTACGCAGGGAAAAAGAAACTGCTGGGGGTATAAATCAACTATATATACGTGCGTTAAAGTGCATAAAGTGAATATTTACGTGAAAGAAGCGAATGAATATTTACTTAATTTAATATAAGGAGGATGGATATGAAAAATGACATAGAATGAAAAGGGGATTGACGTTCATTTTGATTGGAAAATTTTCAGAAGAAGAAACTGGGGATATATATATATATATATATATATATATATATATATATATATATATATATATATATATATGGGATTGAATATTAGCAACTTATACGCGTTAAAGTGCATTTGATTAATTTAATTAAACAAATCAACGGGTATATGTATATTTATTGAATGTGTGTGTGTGTGTGTGTGTGTGTGTGTGTGTGTGTGTGTGCAAAATAGGAATAGAATCCCGAAAAGGGATTTTGCATTTGATTGTAATTATCAGAAAAGAAACGAAAATTTTCACAGGTGAGAAAAGAAACTGCTAGAGTATATATATATATATATATATATATATATATATATATATATATATATATATATATATATATATATATATATATATATATATAAATAAATATAAATATGATTAAATATACACAAGTAACTATATATTTACGTGCGTTAAAGTGCATACACAAGTAAGCGAATGAATATTTACTTAATTTAATATAAGGTGTAAACAAATCGAACGTAGGTATATGTATATTTATTGAATGTGTGTGTGTGTGTGTGTGTGTGTGTGTGTGTGTGTGTGTGTGTGTGTGTGTGTGTGTGTGTGTTTAAAATAGGATTTCCCGAAAATTGACGGATTTATTGAATCCCAAAAGAAACAAAGTTTTTCACAGGTGAGAAAAGAAACTGAGAAATTTGATATAATATATAATATATATTTCATTATAATATATATTTGATAACGCGTTTCGCCTTTCTTAAAGTGCATACAATAAGTAAGCAATGAATATTTACAGATCCAAAAACAAATCGAAAGAAATGAAATTGAATGTTTGTGTGTGTGTGCTTAAATAATGAATCATTAGTACAAAGTTTTTTTGATGAATAAACTTTCGTTTTGATAACGCGTTTCGTGATCCAATGAAAAAAGAAATGAATGAAAATGAATCATTAGACTTTTCCTAAACTATATAATAAAAGAATATATATATATATATATATATATATATATATATATATATTAATTTAATTTAATTTTTTATTTTTATAATTTAATATTTTTTTTTTAATTATTAGTTTAGTAGTGAGATGTTTGATCATAATAGCCCCTCGTTTGCGAGCAACTTAATTTTCTGAAGCAATTTCAAAATTTTCGTCTATTGATTATTTATTCTTAGTTACAAAATAATTTTAACAACAAATTTTCTTGATTTTTCATTTCATTTGGATCTTTTCTATATTCAGCCTACTGTATTGTTTTGAATTGTATTAAACAAGATAAAAAGCTTTCATGGTTTCATCTGTTTTGAGACCTGCGTATTACAGTCATCTGCACTTCGGCTTCGAGGTGAAAGACAGACTCTTTGTAAAAATTGTCTGAAATGCATATAGTAGTTGCAATTGTTTTTACAGTGATGTCCTACCTGTATAAAGCCCAAGAGCTACTTGAGGTAGAGGGTTACCAAATTAGAGGCACAGTCTATAAGGATATGTAGGGAAGAGTGATCGGGGAAGAATCCTTTGATAGTTGGTTTCTCAAATCAGCGGTTCGTGAGTAGAAGCTACTCGAGTGGAACTTAATCTCATCCAATGGATACGAATGGTATTAGAGTGACTCGCTACAATATGCGTGGTATGGCGGGTCTTAGCCGTGATAGTTAGAACTGTTGGAACTGCGGAATATAGTTCGTTTGAATATTTTCCATGGAAATAGCGATAGAGCAGCAATAGAGCAGCAATAGAGACCATAAATCGACAGCCATAAGTAAACAAGTAGTAATATTTCCTTGAAATGTCATGAATGAAATAAGAGGCTATGGTGGTTCCATCTCTTATAAGAAGTAGGTAAAAATCCGTGTACACTTTAGTATTTACCAATAGCGGATTTTGAATTTATATTTTTCTTTATTTAATTTTCTTTTTTTTAATGTCATGTTTTTTCAGGATATAGACTATCATGATTCCCCAGAGATTACTTCGTGGGAAAGATATCGATATGATTTCACGTTGCCTTTTCCGCGGGTTGAATTTACTTTCTTGTAAACTGACAGCTACCTAAGGCTAGAAAACCCAGTCTACCCTGCTATTTAACTTATAGCTGGGAGGAGAAGAGACCGAGTCAAGCCTTTCCCGAGGATATTATTGCGAAATTGAACGCAGCAGAATAACTTGGAATTTGAACTTGGCTCTCCGAATCCATTTTCTGCGTTGATATCCGTTAAACAACCGGTGCATGACCATTTCACTTATTGTTTTATACAGAATTTGAATATTTTCAACGACAAAATGAAGTCATGAACATCAAATTTTCTTTCTTTTGATAGTCATGCTTCTTTCTATATTCATAACATTCATATTTTGAATTAAGAAAAGTAATGAATGATATAAAGAGTTAGGGTCTTTCCGCCTGTCAGTAGAGAAACAAACTGGAATCTATATCTGTGACTGACATTCACGATACTTCTATTCCTTTTATTTTATTTTCAGAGGTCATTTTGTATGATTCGCATTCTTCTTTTCTTTTTCTTTTTTTAGTTACAGATCCCATTTCCATGTTAGGAAGTCATAACCTTAACAACCAGGCGACACTGGTATACAACCAGAATAAAACACCCAGTACCAAGTGGATTAATCCTGTCTACACCAACAATAGTTATGTCCACAAACTGGAACCGAGAACCCACACAGAAGAATACGACAGTACAGGTAATTATTCCTACACGTCAATTGCTCCCTTTTTAATAATAAAAAAAAACGAGACATATGTAGCAATTTTCAAAAGACGCCTTCATCAAATACGTTGGTGTTTGCAGAAGAAATGTAAAATGCAATCAAGCTGTCATTATTAAATTTTCACCGTAAATTATTGACGATCTGTTTACAAGGAGATTTGCTTCTTAGATACAAAACGATATCTGTAAAAAGAAAACATACATTTAGAGATTAGATAAGAAATTGAAAGCAATGAGAAAAAAGGAAAATAATTAAAACAAAATATTTCATGAGTCATTGTTTCGAGCTTTGAGAAATGTTATTAATCTGCAAAGCTTAGTATAATTATTTCTTTGTGCCCTCTCAGTCACCATGTTATTTTGTAAACCAGAGACGCTTCTCTTTCCTTACGAATTAGGCACATGATTCTTCGTGTGCATAATAGTGTAGAATGAATCAGCAGAGACGTTGTGAGAACAACAACAGCAATCCAAATGTATCCAGTTGTCTGAAAAATTTTAAAATATTTAACAAATCATATACCCAAATAAAAATGCATTCTATCGAAACGAAAACAAATTTTGTCTTTGTTCACCATCAGATGAGTGACTAATTTTTGTTCACTGTATCTACAAGGTCTTGTATTAAAAATAGTATTAGCTATTGTAGTATTTTAAACCTGCACTGACTCGTCAATTATAGGAACAATATTCGAAACTTAGTAGACTTCACTCGAAACGATTTAGCAACATTCAAATAGGTCTCTAATTCAAAAGTTTCATACTAGTATTGAGATACTGATATAGGATATTATTCACTCGAAATCTGATACCCACTTTAACAAGATTTTCTGCTCTTTTTAAATGACATTAATCCAAATGCTGATCCGTATTTTATGCACAACGAACAAAATTACGTGAAAAAGATTTGAATCCAATAGGATTTTATCACCTATTTTACTTGGTTGATGCTTATGGTTAATCATGGCTGCATCAGCAAATGATGGACCAAAATATGGGGATCACCTTATCTCAACGTTGTTTTTTTATGGGAACTTACGTCAGAATCAAATGTGGTTGTAGTATGAGTATCGTGTGAGAGGACAAGAAAAGAACCAGAATTAATAAGACAGACAATAAAGATTGACACCGCATTTAAATTGTTAAGGATCAAAAAGCCAGAAGAAGATAGTTCCTCAAGCGAGAAGAACTGTTAGCACAGAATTTACGGTTATATCTAGTCATTCAACTAAAAAATAATGAGATCTTTCCGCCAATCTAATACTGCGCTTAAATTCATGAAGCCTAGATACCGTAGAACAATTACTATGAAAGTATTTATAGAAAAGTCATAGAGAAGCTATGTTACGGCGATACTTAAATGTCTTAAGCCGAAATACCAGGTAATCATCAATAACATTACAGATTCTTCTTTGGATTTTATTAATAATCTTTGAATATATAGTAGAAGCACTAAGCCAGATGTGACAGCAAATCTTCAAAGCATGGACGAATGGTGGACATAAATACACAAGAGAGATTCTGACGAGAAAAATTGTCTATTACGACACAGTGAACCAACTTTCCTAGCTGGAGATTTAGCAATTGATTTAATCATAATGGTACGATCATTGTATTGTAAATCATCAGAGTTTCAAACATTTGACAAACTTGGCCAATTCGGTCTAACAATTTCGATTAACAATCGCAATTTAAATCTCAAAAGCCTAAGTATTGACATTTATTCAGTTATGCACAGTGACGAAGAGTTTAAAATCTTGGAAGAAAAAAACAACAGATAGATTCGTATTTTGATCACAAATACACACACACCTATACAAGCACTCACACACATTATTTCATATATGTATATTTGGGTGAATTCATTTCCCAAACTTCGATTATCCTGACAACAAAAAAACAAAAAAACAGCGAGAATCGAACTCGCTACAACACACACACAAACACACACACTTTTTGTATCAAGCCATTTATAGGGAAAATAGAAATGGCACGGAGCAGGTTTAGTATAAAACACACACACACACGCACACACATAAAAATTTAGTTTGACTCTTTATACAAAGTCACTTTGAGTATTCTGAAATTGGTTTCATAAAACGTGAGAATGCTACAATTAAAAACTAATTTCGTAACTACACATAGAACAATCCTTGAAAATGAATGCAGCAACATTTGAAAGTACTCGGGAAAAAATAATATAAAATAACAGTTAATATGAATTTTGGTAAATTTACCAATAAAATAAAACAACTTATTAAAAATTTGAAAAATTTAATTTAAAAAAAAATGACAGACAGAACTTGTCCATATTATTTAACAAAATATGTTTGAGAGAATTCTTGCTGCTGAAATACACCCACGCACACACACACACACACACACACACACACACACACATATATATATATATATATATATATATATATATATATATATATATAGAGAGAGAGAGAGAGAGAATGTCTCTCCTGACAGACAGTGGCTGTGACAGTTGTTAATTTTGTAAGTGCCTGGATTAAAATCGAATGAAACTTCTACTTATATCGTGTGTATTTTTGCCTTTTTCCCCATTTGTAGGATCAGAATCAGTGCAAAGTTCCACCTATTCTTCTTCTTCATCAGGAGAATGCAGTCCACAGTATTGCCCTCCACACAGCATTGCATCAACGCCGCATGTCTACTGTTCTTCAGTGTCTAACGATTATACCTACCATGCAAATCCTAACAGTACGATCTCTCAAGACATTTCAAATCAAACCAACAAACGCAGCGTCATCGCCTCAAATTCCACCGCCGTCTCTGAACGAAGACAAACGAGAGGAAGGCGTTCTGGTCAAGGTAAGACATCTATGTTAAGTACGCTCTATCATTATAAATGTGGGGTACATACCAGAGAAAGAATACAGAATTGTAAACGGATCAAAAAAGTGATGGTGAGGGAATATTTAATTCTTAGCCTGATAAGAACAGGATATCTTGACTATTATTTTATGATGGTATTTATAAAATAACGAAATAACGTGCCTTGACACCGGTTATTTTATTCCCGAAACTGAACCACCGCATTTTATTTAGAAAAGAACACTGAAGCTTTCCTTACTTTCTGCAGTTACGGCTGGAATCATATGGTAGCTGTAATTTTAATGGTAATATTAGCCGATAAAACATTCAACATTCATTGATCGAGCAGTCAATACTGTTGTCGGCTGAAATTTATAAAATCTTTCTCTTAAAACCATTTTTCAGGAGAATAGGTTTCTCAATCCAATAATTGTTTTTGCTCTTCTATTGATGATGATTTCTTTCCTAATCTTTTATTTAAAGTAATGTGGAACGTCAGCATCTTGATTCGTATGTCATTATTTTCTCTTCGAGTTACATGTGATATCCATTTTATTTGCTGCTGTTTAAAGTCCTCAAGTATTATCTGGTACAGTTCTTTTTTGATTCTGTAATCGAGAAGTACGAGAGTGCGTACATCCAAGATAAGTCCCAAGTGCTTCTGTGGGTATGTAGAGTTGAATAAAAAAGAACTAATTTCCAAAGGCTGAATGAAAGAAAGAGTCGAATTAAGTTGTTTGCTAAACATAAAACACAGATGCAAAAGCAAGTATTCTTACTAGATGGCAAAGTTTTTTTTAGGGGGGATCTGTGTAGCTAGACTGACCAGCAGGACTAAAAGGTACTATTTGTCCATAGTTGGGGACCGAAATAAGGGTTGTAATCCTAACCTGATTCAAACTTTAATCATTCTAATGTTACTGATGTGCCGACTTTCAATTTTTCCGTTACACAGTTTCTAAGTCAAATAGTGGATATCCCAAATCGTTTCTTTAATAAACATTCCTCTTTACTTGATTCGTTCCTCCTCTCCTAGCTCTTGTCGAGCATTAAAACTCTTTCCTCTTGGTAATTCGGATCACGCTGTAGTATCTGTTCATATTTCTTTTGAGTCGTCTATTATTCATTTTATGACTTGAGTTGATATTCTTAACCTTCCTATTGAAAATTGTGCCACATATGTTTCTTCATGGGTTAAAGCCGGCATCGAGATTTTTGTACCTTTTCGTAAATACCAGGTTTAAACCACAATCTTCTTCTTGGTTCATGCCTGTCTGTTCAGTCGCTATAACCCGCAGGAATCACTTTTTTCCGGCTGTACCAGCGTGGTACCGAATACAACAAACACCTTTTTGTGTCTGCTCGTAATATTCTTCAAATAAGGTAAGTATTTGTTTGCTGATAGAATGGGGCACCGTATAACCGCTAACAAGTTTGGTTCTTGTTACTACTGGCGGCTCTGTAACAATGTGTTAAATAAGAGTAAATCCTCTATCCCTCCTCACTCCACTTAATTTGAGGTGTTAACATATTCTGCTGATAAAGCCGTATGTTTTGCTCGTAAATTCTTTTCAATTTTTACTCTTGACTCATCTAGAGTATTTTTGCCTAATACTCCACTTATAACTGAGTCTCTCTTGAGGGATATGAATATAACTCCGTCCATGGTTTCTGCTATAATCTCTAAACTGGATCCCACAAAGCATATGGACTTGCAATAGTCCTTAAGAAATGTGCTCAAGGACTGGGTCCTGTTTTCTCTAAACTACAATCAATGCCTTGTTGGTTTTCCTGTTTATGAGAAATCGTTTTCTGTAGTTTCAGTCTTTAAGAACTCAAGCAAACCGCCTGATCCTTCTAACCATCTATCTCCTTTTGGCAAATTACTAGAGGTTCTAATCAATTCTAAATTGATTAAGCATCTAACCTCGCAGAGTTTTCTTTCAGATAATCAGTATGACTTTCTCTTCTCTAGGTCAACTGCTGATTAATGATTATTGCTGAAAGAGTCTAGATAAAAATGGTGAAGCTCGAGTTAAGGCATGTCGGTTTTCTTCACAATTTCAAAGGTTATGGTATTTCATCAACAACCTTCCTGATGTTGTCAGTTTTCAACTCGGTATCTAGGCTGATAACACAACTATTTACCCCTGTCTTAATAGTAAGTTTGATCGGTATGAAGTGAAAAGATTATATTGATTCAATTGCTAGGTTATTTGCTAGGAAAGTTGTTTCACTGTGTTGTGCTAGACAATTTTTCTGGCTAGAATCTTTCATACATATCTACAACTCTGAAGATTGTTGTCACATTTGATATGGTACTTCTGCTATGTATTTAGAGATTCTTGTTAAAATACAAATACTAAGAAGACTCTGTAATGTTATGGGCCCTGACCTGGCATCTCGGCTTCAGTTCCTTTCCTACCACCGTAACGTAGCTTCCCTGTGTCTTTTCTACAAATACTTTTATAGTAATTGTTCTGATGAACATTCATCTATGGTACCTAGACTTTATGAATCTAAGCGCAGTATTAGATTGGCGGCATCATTTTACATTTGAAATGGTTCGATGTAACCGTAAGTTCTATGCCAACAGTTTCTTCTCTCGCGCTTCTCGCTAGTTGAAATCAATTTCGGCTTCTTTCTTTCCGTTCAACTTTGACCTTCAAAAATTTAAACGCAATGTCACTCGTTATCTTTCTTCCTGTGTTTTTCTCACATTCTCTCCCACTCAGCAACCCCTTGCGTCTTAGTGACTTTATTACCTTGCTTGGGGTGAAAAGATTATAATAATAAAAAAAATTCCTTGGAGTAGTAATACTGGGTGGATACAAACTGCGTCAACCAGAATTTGTACTCGGTCACTAATTCCATTCACAATATTGCTAATCATCTCTCCACCCACACCTCCAGTAGGGACAGCTCTCTTTACTGACTCCATCAAAAACGTTTTACTGTTTCAGTTTTTTCAAAAGTTACGTTGAATTTAAAACAGCTTCAGATGACTTATGGAATTTTCGTAATTTTTGTGTCAAGAAGTGAAATATCTGAGTAATTTTATCTCAGGGCGATTGTTTCATCTTCACGGTTGAATATAAGTAAATAAATGTAATTTAATCACATTTACTGTTCTGTATCAAAAACTACGAGTTGAGCCTGAAGGTGATTTTTGAGTCGAGATAAGCTCTCTCTTTTTTTTTTTTTTTTTTTTTAATATGCATTGGTAAGAATTTGTCTTGAGGGTAGTAGTTAACTTCCAGTAAGATAAAACGTTTAAAATCAATCTCTGTAAATCAAAATTGACGTTTCTTTGAACTTCAGGCACATAATTTCTTATCTGATGCTTATGAATACAGAAAATTCGAAATTCGGAATTTTTTAGATTTCGGAAAAGATTGATTGATATCCATAGGAGAATCTACAGATCTGAACATTTTCAATATTAAAAAAGAAGCAAAATATTCATAACCAGCATTTGGAATACAGCTGAGTCAACAGAGGCTACCGGAAGTTAATTTGACGCTATGTGCATACTTTGGTGAGCAGAAAAAATATCGTTTTTTACGAATTTTCGAATTTGGGGAAAATAACTTGAACTGCTTAACCTGAACTCCTTACATTAATAAATTATCAAAGCGCGTTTTCTGTTTGGGGTGGGTTGTAAGCAATTTAAAAAGAGCCTGTTTAATTCCTTAAGTCTTTTTTTAATTTCAGTAAAAATTGTTCCTCGATGATTTCTATTAGAAGATCTTTTATCATTCAAATTATTTCTACATTCAGGATCAAAAGGAACTCACCTCTGGGAGTTCATCCGGGACCTTTTGCACGATGAGAAATTTTGTCCGGGTTTAATAAAATGGGAAGATCCAAATATGGGTGTATTCCGATTTGTCCAATCAGAAGCCGTCGCTCAGATGTGGGGGAAAAAGAAAAATAACACATCAATGACATACGAAAAACTTTCACGTGCCATGAGGTAAGTCCCTTATTATTATTATTATTATTATTATTATTATTATTTTTCATGTAACCACTAAATTTCTGGAGACTAAACTTAGTAAAAAAATTTATTAATAATTATTTTATTTTTAAATATTTTCTTTTGTTTGTTCTGATACTATATTTACCATAATGTTTTACGATTGATTAAGATGTAATGTAATGAATGAAATAATGAGCTTTAGTAGTTCCAGGTACAATTAGAAGTAGGTAATGCTTCAGTGTACCATGCATTGTTTAATCCTTACTAGTTATTTTTTAATCGTTATCGCCCCATACAAGGCAGTAAAGCCACTAAGACACAAGGGGTTACAGGGTGTGAAAGAATTAGGAACAGAAACATTAATAATGAGCGGGAAGAGAAAAGAGTAATCAGGAGGACAGCGGATAGCGATTGACATTGCATTTAAACTTTTGCAGATTAAAGTTGGCTGGAAAGCATGGAACTGGAAGGGAGTTCCACAAGCGAAACTGTTAGCATAGAATTATGTTACATCTAGTATTTATAGAAAAGACACAGAGAGGCGACCTTACGGCGATGGGAAAGTGACTGGAGCCGAGCCGCCAGATTAGGACCAATAATATTGCAGATTCTTTGGATTTTATTAACGAGTTCAAGGTAAATAGCAAGAGCACCGGACCATATGTGGCAACAATATTTTAAGCATGAACGAATGATAGATTTATAGATATGTAAGGTAATTCATTAAACTTTGTACATAATGAATTTGGCTTTTTTACTGTTTATATAAGATCGTAATACAATATTTTGTTTTCTACATTCACGCCAATATGTTTTAAATTTAGAGAGTAGGTTTAAGGTGGTTCCACCTATCAACAGTAATAGGTACAGCTCCTATACACACTGTAGTGTGTTTATTTGCTTAAGTGGTTAAAGAGCTACTCTTTTGTATAAATCGTTTTAAATTGTCGGTGGCGTCTGTAATGTATGAAATGTGACATCATTATGATTTCATCCATCATTAGTAGTAGATAATGTCCCAGGGTATACAGTAGGGTTCACCAATTCTGATATTTTTGTCTTGTTTTTCAATTATCCGAACAGAATTAAATTGACCAATTTTCTTATTTGTTTATCCACCGCTATCAAGTAATCAACATCATAACACTCAAATTAAGAAAAAAACTGGTATTAGATTTAAAGATTACAAAATTTCATTCCTTGAGTTCACCAAGGGACATAGAACTCGTACTTTCGATCCCTAGATTAAATAATGGAGAAATATAAGACTCAGCGAAGACTTATAGATAAGTAAAATAGATTCTGTTTAACTTTGATTCCTTCTTTTTTTTATAAATGAAATTGTTAATATAGGAAAGATAGATTCAACGGCTTCAGTTAATGTGTTATCCTTATATATCACGTTTGGATCTTCAAAGACTTCATTTCTTGGTAGATGATCCACATACAAAATTAGTGGTATGAAGCTGATTCCTGTCGACAAATGACGATGAGGCCGATATATTCAAAGAGGTGTTGAAAAGTTCTCACTTCAACAATTTTTCAAAGATCTGACTAAATATCAGAATTTGTCTATCTTTCTGAGATGAGGTATAGTAATTATTTACATTATTTACATTGTTCGGACTGTTGTTTTTATCTTTGTCAACGGCCGAAACGTCGTGAATATGGCAATAAAGATGAGGAGAACAGTTTGAACAATGTAAATAGTGTAAATAATCAGAATTTGATTTGGTATCTTTTTTTCTGTTGGACCCAAATATAGAAATTTAAAGCTCGTCCTTATATATATATATATATATATATATATATATATATATATAGTTTTTCACTTAGCTGATTGATGTTACGTTCAGCATCCCAACTCCAGAGTTTCGCAGACGGACTCGTCCGCCTGACTCGTCAGGTGTGTATATATATATATACATACATACATACATACATATATATATATATATATATATATATATATATATATATATATATATATATATATTAAGCTAATAGTAAATAAATGGCGAAAATAATTAAAAGAATTCTTAACAACGCGTTTGGTTCCGAGAAAGAAATTAGTCTTATATATAAAAAGTGGGGAGAGAGAGAAATACAACAAACGCCAGTTACAGTTTATATCGAAACGTTAAAGATATCGAGGCGCTCAGCTTTAAAGCGATAAAAACTAAATGAAATGGGCTACGCTAAGCATCTCCATAAACCGATGGTCAAAATATATGATATCTAAAATGTCCTTTGCAAACTTCATTGCATTGTTCTGATATAACAGATAGAACACAGTGTACTTTAGAACATGTAAGTTAGGTACAGCTAAAGCGATAGAAGTTAACTATATTTCCATTTTTATAACTGTTTTTCTTTTCATCAGCAATTGTTGGGTAATTTAAATTTTTTCTTATCCGTTTTAAATAGAATGTTTTTAATAGTTTTAATATTTAATTATATTTAATATATTAATATATTTAATAGTTTTTAATGTGTTTTTAATATGTTTTAATAGTTTTTAATACAAAAATATAATATATAACAATCGATTAATAAAAA